CGCAATTGCAGTAGTCACAAGAGTGAAAAAGGCACAATCTTTTCATTAAGGAATTTGTAGGTGAGTCCAACAAATTCAATTATAATACAACATGTTGAGGGCTTTGATCGTTATGAAACAGAGACCTAATGACAGAGTAATACAGTAGGATATCAGAAAAGTATTCTAACCTAAATAATATACAATGAGGTTATTCATCTTTAGTTTTATAAAAGTAGGTTTATTACAGTATACTTACCCATGCCATATGACCCAGAAAGTACGGTTTCATATACAACATAACACATACACACACACACACTGAAATACAAATACAGTTTACACATAAACGTCACTGCTCAACATGTTTGTTAAGCATATCAGAAATAAGGAGATATGTTATTTATCTTCTGTTATTCTGACTGAAAAAGATAAATTTTTTAAAAGTCATATTTTCCATTTCTGATAAGGTCACCAGAGTCTACCTAAATCTTGATACTTGTGCATACCAAATGAAATGGGGAGAAACAGAAGCATCACGGAAAGTAAACCACTTTTCTATCTCTCCACAGGAGGGCAGCATTTCAAAAGGCAAAATCCTTCCCAGAATCACAGCAGAGTTTGAGGTTGGAAGAAGGGGACGGTTCGGAGTGAGTGATTCAATTGGCTGCCACTCAGAGACCTGTGTGTTTTTACTGAGATCAAAGTGGGTGGCAAGTGTTACTCTAGCCCAGAAAAACCTCTTTCAGGAGGGGATCTTTCAAGGGCAGTTAAGACCGTGGCCGTGGCCACCATATAAGAAGAAAAGATGTTCTTAAAATTCTCAGTGTTGGTCCTTTGGATTCAACTGGCATGTGAGTTTGAGAAGTTCTCAATTACATGAACAGGAAATCCTCAGCAGATGGAAAATCCTTGAGGGCAAGTTATTTTATGGTAAAGAGTGAAAGGAAGTGTTAAAGAAGGAAAGAAGAAAGGGAGAGAATGAGCAAGGGAGAAGGGAGGGAAAAATCATTTCAGATTGGGAGACAGTCCCTAGTTCCCTTCTCCAGTGCCTTCTGCTTTGTTCCTAAACAGGGGAGAGCACCCAGCAGCTGGAGCAGAGTCCTCGGTTTCTAAGCATCCAGGAAGGAGAAAATTTCACCGTGTACTGCAACTCCTCAAGCACCTTCACCAGCTTTCACTGGTACAGACAGAGTCCCGAGGAAGGACCTGTCCTCTTGGTGATATTAACTAAGGGCGGAGAAATGAAGACGCAGAAGAGACTAAAGGCTCGGTTTGGTGAGACAAGAAAGGACAGCTCCCTGAGCAGCACAGCAGCCCAGCCCGGGGATGCAGGCGGCTACCTCTGTGCAGGGCCACAGTGCTCCTGCGCCACCTGCTGCCTGCACACAAACCCTGCTTCAGGCCTCCAGTCGCACAGCTGCTTCACTGCTCCAGCTCCACTTCACGCACCCCTCGTCATGGACAATGACAACAGCCTCAGTCCCTCATGGAACCATTCCTGCTGCCTTTCCAGAACACTTACCACGTACCCTAGAGGACAAGATTCATCTGTTACGAGGCAAAATTCCAGAAATAAAGCTCACTATTTGAATGAGTTAAAATATGGGTCTACAGCTCCCCAGGGTAGGCAGGAGTGGGAAGAAGAGGGTCGAAAGAGAGGGACAAATGGAGGATATCAGAGTGCCTCCCAAAGACCACAGCCAGGAATGGTTAATACAAGGGGCCAGAAATGAACGGTTTCACAGCTCTATTCTAGTACTCTGGAGTTGAGGAAACTGCTACATCCCCAGTCTATTAAACTGCAGTAAAAGGCAGAAGTATAGTAAAAAATAATTAGAAGAAAGTTCCTGATTTTTGATAGAAAAATGCCACAGACGTACTCCAGTGACAGCCAACTGTGATTCCAAAGCAACATCCCCAGTAGGTATTTCTGGAATTGCTTAAACATTAACTATGATAACCTGTATTTGCACAGGGTTTGCTTGGCGATTAGCTTTTGAATGGCAGACATCAACAGCTTCACGTTTTCGAGACTAAAGAAGCTGGAAGTTGACAATTTCCTCAACCTGCCAAGCCCTCCATTGGCCCATTTTTATACCTGAAGTATTCCTGTTTGTTCTCTAAAGCAAGAGGATATAATAGAAAGCACATGGGTTTTGGAGTCACACTAACCCAGGTTTGAGCCTGGGTCTTTGAATCCTGTCTTTGCCATTTTTCCAGCTCTGTGTCCTTGGGCAATTATCCATCTTCATCTAGGCTTCCTTATAAATACAGGTGAATAAGAACACTTATCTTGCTGAGTTGCTGTGAATTAAATGAGATAAAATTTTTAAAATTATATGAAGTCTCAGGTACAACACATGTACTTAATAAATGCCCCTGTAAATAACATTGTTATTAAGCCCTCTAAATACATGTTATCCCTACTGTGACATTTTCATTGGTTCCTCAAGGACGAATGAGCTAATCTCTGCCAAATATTCTGAATCCTCGCCTTAATAGTCAGGAAGTCAGACACCGAGTTGCCAATCTAATCATCATTTTCTTCTGCTTCCTTAACAGAATTCTCAGTTTTGATTTGGAAAACTATATCCCCAGCTTAAAAAAAAACAAACAAACTACATTTTACATCCTTTCTTAAAGTAGGGGTTGCTTGGAGCACAGTTCTCACAAATGAGACCTAATTAGAAACATACCAGGGCTTCCCTGTAATGTTTTCGCTCTCCTGGTTTAGACATCGCATCTTCTTGTCCTTCTTCTAATGTTTTCTTCCTGAAACATGGAAGTGATAACTTTACCAGAAAGGAAAGCACACGCATATCCCCCCGCCCCAGTCCTCTGCCTGATCGTTCTTCAGATGCCACATCCAATCACTCCCCCAGATCTATTTTTGCATGAAAAATTTTAATAAACCTTTCTTTGGTTGAGTGTTTTGTTACTTGCAGCTCGACACAATCCTAACTCTACTAGGACTGACATAAAATAGCTTTGTGATTTTCTGTGTTCACATGTAAGCGCAGAAAGAAAGACATGAATAAGTACTGTGTTTCTGCAAAGAAGGGACCTGCATTTACACTGACCATATGTATTTCTTGAAGTATTAGTGTTCCTATAATTTTTCATTAAGGAAAAAAGATTTCATTTTAAAGCTTATTCAATAACAAAAGATTTCCTTTCTTGTCTTCCCTGTGGAGAGATGTGCTGGACTGGCAGGAGATTTTGTTTCTGTTTTCCTCAGAAGATGACCCAGTGTCTTTCCATCATCACTGTTCTTACACGTCCCTCTCCCTGAACAGCGACGTGACTCTGTGAGAAGAGCGTGGGATGTTTACGGCTCTGCCGCTTCCTGGCTGTGTGACACTGTACACTGCTTTGCGAGCATCAATTTCCTCATAAGTACTTGGGGAGTAAGTATAGTATTTACAGTGCTATGGTGAGGATTAACAACGTTTTGTGAATTGTCTAACACAATGGATTAAAAAACAAAGAAAATTAAAAGTGACAACCTCAGCTTCAATAAGATACACTCAGAATCTCATTTGGGTCCTGATATATGTTCTGTGTGGGGAAAATGAAAAGGAGACAGTTCCCGCTTTCAAGGAACTCACTCTCGTGGTGATGGAGGGCTGATGACTAGTCCCTTAGCCATCTGTCTCCATGACCCAAGACTTGAAGACTCCTCTGATCTACAGCCTCCATTCAGAGCAGCGATTCATACCATTTGGACCCTCTCCATGCTCCCGAAGCACTCTGTGCCTTCCTGAAAACCCATTGTTGATGCCAAAGTCCACACTCAAAAACCTGGTTTAGGAGGATGTATTTCTGCATATGAAGTGGTGTCAGAGGTAAGGTTTTAGTCCCAAAGGAGGCACTTTAATCTGAGAAAAGTTTCTTTAGGCTTTTATTAATTGCTGAATGAAGAATGAAAATCTCTGAAACAGGGAGAGGGCTAATCATCTGGTCCAGGGCAAAGCAGGGGGAGCAAGACAACTTGTAGACCAGAGAATTGCTCCTGCTTTCTTATCACGAGTTCTCTTTTCTTATCTCCAAGAGTCAAAATGAAGCTTGAAATTAAAACAAGACAATTTGTTTCATATTTTCAGTAATTTTGTAGTTTCATGAATCCATATTTCTTAGTATCAGGAACCAATATCAGCTTTTACTTATTTGTCCTGAAATTATTTCCAATCTCTGATTGCTATTCTTCTCTAAACCATGCTGATACCTCATGAAAGGTCAGAAACTCAAGAAAAATAAAAGCAAAGAAAGAAGATAAAGCAAAGAAAGAAAAAGTGACGTAAATACAGAGAGAAGAGAATGGAGAAATGACGGGTAAAAGAAAATGACAGAGGGATTTTTTGAACTAGAAACCATTGTCTGTGCGAGTTTATCAACAGTAGCATTATCAACACTCAGGGCCAGGTAGTTTTGGTGGGGGAAGGGGCTTTCCTATGCTTTGCAGGATATTTAGCAGCATCTCTGGCCTCTCCTCACTAAGTTGTTAGTAGCACACCCTCCTTTCCCCAGTTGCAACAACCAAAAACGCTTTCAGACACTGCCACATGTCCCCTGGGGAGGAATAGCTCCTGGCTGTAAACCAATGGTCTGTATGTTAAATTGATAAAGTAGAAACTTTTAGGAGATAGATAGAAAGGTAGATAGATAGATAGATAGATAGATAGATAGATAATAAATATAGATATTTCATGTAACTATTTCACACACACACACACACACACATATATATATACACACATCCTAAAAGTTTCTATTCTTATCAATTTAACATTCAATGTTCACTTCCTCAGTCCTTTTCCTATATATAATATTTCATGTTTTATGTGTATGTATATACACTTCATACAGATATATTTCCTATTTTATATATATATAAATGAAAAAGACTGAGCAAGTATACATTTTTCTTTCTACAATTATGACATATTTTTTATTTCTAAGTGGTTATTTTTCCTGGACTGTTATTATGTCATTTGATTTTAATAAAGTCAACAAGTAAAATACATGGAATGTAAAAAATGGAAATTGGTTACATATATATTTGTATCATTCACATATATTTATATTACATATAATATGTATATAATATATACTCATAGCATTTTATGTATGTATTCACAACTCAGAAAAGTTTCTCAATCTGATCATCTCTCAGGTTTTAGGCTGGTCCATATCTCTTATCTATGGGTCTTTACTGATATATAAATTGTTTATTCCCCCTGTAAGGTACTATCTCCCTGTTCTTCACACAGATTATTCTACATATACCCAGAGTTTACAAAAAAAAAGATTCTTAAACCCTCAGAAAATAACCCTTCCATTACTCCCAACACACACACACTCGCACATGCACTCACACACACACCATGTGGTGCAGAAGGACTAATTCGCAGGTAGGTGGAGCTCCGACGACACAGCTGAGAGGATGCTGTTGAATCTGTCTCGTGAAACCAACAGACACAGGAACAAAATTAGTGCCACACTCAAGACATGAGGCATATCAATATTTAAAGGAACTTGACATCGAGCTGTGTCCCTGTAATGAAAGAGTAAAGAATCATGAAGACACAGATAGAAGTCTTGCTGGGCCTCCTGTGGATACAGATCTACTGTGAGTTAAGAGCATCCCAGAGGGAACCTGAAGGAACATCACAATTCAATTTGGGGAGGAGCAAGGGAGGAAAGGGAAGATGGAGGAAGAGAGAGAACATGAGTCTCCTAGGCTGTGTTCTCCTCCACAAGGATGAAAACTTGAGAAAAATGTTCTGCGCTTGGAAGTAGCCACAGCCATGTGGCCATGATCCTCGTCTATTCCTATTTTTCCTTTTCTCAACAGGGCTAAGAGTACAAATGAAGGTGGAGCAGAGTCCTGGGGTCCTGACCCTCCAAGGGGGGGAAAATTCCTCTCTGACGTGCAATTTTTCCGTCTCCCTGACAAGTTTGCAGTGGTTTCAACAAAAGCCTGACGGACGCCTCATATCCTTGTTTTACATAGCGTCGGGAATGAAGCAAAACGGAAGGCTGACAGCCACGGTCAATATCAGGGAAAGTTACAGTCACCTCCACATCAGAGACTCCCAGCCTGGGGACTCCGCCACTTACTTCTGTGCTGTGGAGGCACAGTGCTCCCCAGACACCTGCAGCCTGAACACAAAACCGTAGCTAAAGACTTAACCCAACCCCTAGAGTAGGGGCTGGTGCCCAGTGTGATTAGAGTCGCACCCCTCTGCCTTGCATCCCCTGATTCCTGCAGAAAGCATTTGCATAGAGCTACAATTGACGCTACAGTGCCGGCACATACATCCAGGGGTTCACGTGGAGGTCTCTGTGGGGATAAGTTACTAGGTGAAATCTATAGACTGATCAACTCTCTCATAACTGATTCTGGCTTTCTGGACAGGAGTGAGCAGCCAGCTCAGTGCACAGCAGAATCCTCTACCCCTCCACATCCAAGAGCAAGAAGGCTCCGGTCTCACCTGTATTTTCTTTTCTACACTTCTACTAGCTTGCTTTGGTACAGACCCTGGGAACAGCTACATGTTCCTTTTTAAAATACACTTAAATGGGGAGGAAAAGGAGGAGGGAAAAAAGGGCCACAATTAGTATAAAGGCTGGGCAGAGCTTTCAGCACACCAGACCAGAGACTCAGCCACCTCCCTTGTGTCTCAGGGACATAGTGCTTCCCAGGCACTTGAAGCCTGAACCCAGATGTGTG